CATTTTGGCTCTATGCTTGGCTGGAGAGGGTACAACTGAAACAACAAAACAGAACTAAATAACAGGTAATGGTAGAATATTTACAACATAAGAATGCCATTTAATTTCCATGTAACATATTTCACATCAAGAATAAACATAGCGTGAGCAAGTAAAAATCGCGTTATTAATATAATGTTGAGTACCTGAAACGCTGAAGTCTGAATGTTTATGTTCAGCATCTCCGCTTTGTTCAGCACCCATGGTGCACTCAGTCTATGCAGCCAACACAAGCACTGATCCAAAAAAATAACAAAATTATATATAATAATATTTATACATTCGTGAGATGAAAAGTCATAATTACTTTTTGATGTTTTTATTCTGTGGTGGAAGTAAGCTTCCATATGTTTCTGCTCCAATTCATTATCAAAATATACATCTTTAAACAATGGAATATTTATTCAAACTCATTAAATAATGAAGACATCACTAACAGGTTAAGTAAAAATATAATGAATATGTAGTAAAGAAGTGTTAGTATTATATATAATAATATTTATACATTTTGTATACAATTCTACATTTTACAACAACGATTATACATCTAATACATAAGTACGATACAAATGTGTTTCTTGAAATGTGATTTAATACATATGCACTACTACATAATGCTTGACATACCTTAGTGTTGTTATTTTCAGCTGTTTGTCTGGGGCGATTTCATTCGGCTGACTCTTTAGTTGAATGAACGGCTTGCTAATGTTTTACATTGTAACTTAAAGACATTGTGAGATGTTAAACCACAATACGGGTTGCAGATAACGTCTACAATCTATATTTGTTAGCAAATAAATCACTAGAGGAACCAAAAGTAAAACATCCGGTCTGATAACATGAGACGCATGATGATGACGTCACGGGTTTGTTTACATGTGACCATCCAGCGATTTTCTCGTATTCTTGGTAGCTTTCCATTTACAACTAAAAGAAAAGTACACTCTATATTTAAAGAGAGACACAGAAAACAGAAAATCAATTAAGAAAAATAGTAATATAAGATGAATTAAATTAAATCACTTTTCAAGGTTGATTTTACGTACGTAACTTTTACATACTTTATACCTATAATCTGTTTGGGATGGCACATATTTTATTGTATTTTCAAATTTGCAAAGCTTACACAGTTGCAAAAAGTATATTTAAACTATACACAAAGTATATATCTACATATTGTGTACATTTTATATAGTGGAGTATCTTTCTATTGAACTTACAGAGAAAAAAA